TTAGATCAAATACAGAGGAGGAATGAGGGTCTTCCCACAATGCATTGCGTCTAATTATTATTCACAATTATAATTTTCAACGAACGTTTGGCAAAAAGTTGTTGAAATACATTGCGATTTTGGCTCCGTTTATCTCGTTTTTTCGAAGGTATGTTTTTATATTTGTATTATTTAAGACCCTAATTAAACTGTTTTTGACTTGTTTGGTACAGGAATTGCTTTTTAGTTATGCTAATTACGTATTGTAATTATGCTTGATTCGGGTCAGTGGACACGCCAATAAAATGACCTTGATATAATGCAGAAGCAAACTCACTTTTTTTTGAGGAAAATAAAAACAAAACACGTCATCGAATTCGGGAAGATTTTTTCTTTCTACTGTTACTTTAAAACATGAGTTTGCTCCACTAAACCGACAAGTAATGGCGGTTTGAAAATGGGGTACTTTCGCTATATTCAATCGCCGATGGCGGGAATAGACCCCCTGATAAATAATCATGGCGCGAAGGAAATTATTGTACTAATCACTATTTTTCATGATAATTTTGAAATATACGCATTTTTGTTCGTACATATTTTAAGTTTAATGCAATTTTTAAGGTTAGGTATGCTTATGTTTACCTGCCCTGACTGTATTTTTTTCATTTTATTATATAATTCGGCTATTTTGGAGTAAAAGTATATATTTTAAACGGGTATATACTTATGGGCCATTCCATTTAATATCCACACCCCCCCTACGGATGAGGTCAGTAAAATTTTAACCCCTAAGAAAAAAAGATCAAAGTGCCGACACAAAACACCCCTCAGAAATTTGTAAATTTTCCCCTTACCCCTCAGAAAAATCGCAGAGATCAAAGGATGCCGACAGGCTTAACCCCTCAGAAACGACTTTTTGAGTCACCCTTCAGAAAAGCTCATCCGTAGGGGGGGGGGGGTGTGGACATTAAATGGAATGGCCCTATGGTGATACCCCAGGGAAACCTAATAATAAAAGACGCAGAATTTCTCGTTTGAAAAATTCAACATCAAGGTTTTTACAAACCTAAAATACAGTATGACCAGTTTGACCACACTAAAACATTGTAAAGTTGTCATATTAACAGTATTAAAACATTGTATTTTAATGCTTTTTTTGCCTGGGAGAATTTCTGTCCATAGGCATATTACGAGGCTGGGGGTTACAACCCCTCCAGTCAGTGTTTAGTTGGGCAGAATTCTTCTTTAAAAAATTATTGGGCAATTGTTTTAAAATTGACTTTAAACAGTATATAGACTGGAGATGTATTCCTTCTATTTTAAATGACAATGTTGGGCAATTTCTATCCACCTGTATGCCATATTATTTTTCAATGCTGGGAGTGGCATTCCAGAAAACCTATAGTACACACATTTCCTGGAGAAGCATGCCCACAATCCTGGTAAACATCCATAAGTTTCTTTGTTGCCGTCTAATTGTGCTGGCACTGAGATTGCCCCTCTCACTTTTGCTGTTTGCTTTGTAGTTTCCTATCAGAAAGATTAAACCGACTCCAAAGAAATCCCCAGTACAACTTCATAAATGGACATTTGAGGAAGATAAAGCATTCATTGAATTCATATCTGTTGCAAAAAAACATGCAAATGATTACGATTGAAGAGGTTTACCAATTATGTAATACCTCTAGTTGTTTTAATACATCATTAAGCTAGAGCAAAAGCATCACCTTTCATATACGTTATCATATAGCATCCGTGTTTCTGGTGAAATGAATGTGTGTAACATTTTAAAATTGTACGCATAAGATTTTATTGTTAAAAACATTTTAATTATCTTTATTAAGTACAGTAATATTATGTTAATATTTTTTTCGATTTTAAAATAAATAAATTTTATCAACATCATTTATGTAGTGTGTGCAGATCTTTTTATTCATTTGTGATGAGCAAGGGAAGACTATACACTGAAAATCGTGAAAACCATACATACCATAAACCTCCGAATATAAGCCCCCCCCCCCATGTACAAGCCCCCCCCTTGTGTAAGCCCATCAAAAATCGCTTACGAAAGAATATAAGCCCAGTGCTTTTAGGTGGAGGTTTACGGTAGATTGTCAAAAAAACTGCAGAACTGTAAGATGGTGTCCATGCATGGGATATACTTATGGTATAATCAAGTGATATATATATACATGTTATAATAGTGACGAAAACACATGCAGTACAGGAAAACATGGGTAGGGCCAGGACTGTACCACTACAAGTTCCCCAGCTCTATCCTTACATATAAAAGAAATATCAGTATTACACCAGACACTAATAAACAATTTTGCAGCTTCTGCTAAACATTTTCTTTCAATGTTTTTTAACCCATTGAGTAGTGAGTGTCAGCACTCTCCCCCTGATGAGTAAATAGTCTAGTGTTAGACAGTAAAATAATCTGGCATTAGGCAGAGTAAAATAATAGACAACTGGTTGATCATTTGAGCATAGATAACTGGTTGATCAGTATAAATCCTTGCAATGCATCACACATTGCGATAGTGTTGAATTTACTCCATTTCATTCTTTACAATGCTACCACTGGGCGCTTCTTCCATCATTCAGTGTGTATGAATGTCTGTCAGGGCAAACAGGATTTATTGGTAAATTAAAACAGTTACAATCAGTTGGATGATGTAATTCTATTGGTGGAAGTACACTATCCAGCTTATCATCTTGACTATCTGGGTCACATGGTGGGATTGCTTGGGATGTTGGTGATGTTGAAATGTCAAACTCCCAACAACATAACATTGTTATATTCTTTGTTTATACCTCCTTCCCGTAGATCATTAGGGTCGAAGAACTACATGATATGAAATAAAAATACGTTTAATACTGCTGTATTTACACAACATAGGAGCATTTTTATATTTCTATTTTTATATAAAAATCATCTCACCTTAAAAACACAACTAGAGTGAATTTGTACCAGTGCAGGACTACCGCAATCAGCGAACAATTTCATCAATTTTTATCCCGTTAACCACAGCTGGACAAAGGACTATTCTTCGAACTATCCGTAAAACTATAAACATGAACCTCACGACATTCAAGTTCATCACACGGTAATTCTTCCGGAATCAAGATTAAAGGCTGTTTTGACACACAGTGAACACATAGAAGCTCGTGTCCACCCAAAAACGAAGCTTTCTTTCCATGCGTAGTGCAAAAATCAACCATTTTACAATTTATTTTCGATAAATCTTTTCTGAACTCTTAAAACCTCGAGGTGTAAACACAGCGAAAGCCGACCGAACAATGACGGCGCAGAGCGAGAAATCGATAATATGTAAAAAACCGCGCCTGACCGCGTTGCATGCCGGTATAGTCCTCACTCCTCTGGATCAAATATATAGTCCACAAACTGTAGGCTACCTGTTTGTTTCATAAAGTTATTGTTGTTGAATTAAGATCCACTCTTATTGAGTCTTAGTGATGCATTCATGATTGGTAATAGCTATATATTTCTGAAAACGCCTATTTTTTGGCTTCGTGCATGTTTATCACAAAATGTGTACAACATGAGCATGTTCGATGCAGTTATGCAGCTAGGGTAAAAAGCAGGGTGGATCGGAAACAACGTACAAGAACATATCCACCCTGCTTTTTACCCTAGCTGCATAACTGCATCGAACATGCTCATGTTGTACACATTAAATGCATATTAATGTATTTGATGAACATCCATGTGTGTGTACATGTTTATTATCAACTACGACTCCACCCTACTTTTGACGCTTCTATATATATTCTGAATAGAAAGCTGACGAGGTAAATGGATAAATATTTGCATCGAAAGACACAATTATACTAGTAGTCTTCATATTTTTTCTGGGCCATTGCACGAATTAAAAACACACTCGTACTAAGAAAGCAGATATAGTTAATAGAATCTTGAAGTCAGTTAAATAAATTGCGGCTTTGGTTATATATACATTATATTTCGGTAAAATCGCTTTGAACATGCCGTATTTCGGTTTATTTATCAGCTTTCGGTCAATCTGAAGTTATTGATTTTCAACAATATTTGTTCTGGCGGTATTTTTGGTGGGTACCCCAACGCGTGTTCAATTAGTAACCGAACATGCCCGACCTCAGCAATCAACATTAAATGATTTAATGTTTTTGGAAGTCTATCATATGAAATTTATTTGCAGACGTGTCTAGAGTTGTACTGTTGATAAGAGAAAGATCTTATCTGATCAAAACTAACAGCAGGTCGTACTTTCTTTGCGGGTTGCGCACTGTGTTTCAATAGATTTTAAAATTGGATATTGTTGCATTGATTGAGTGTTGTTCCTATATTTCTCTAATGCAATTACAGGCGACAATAGCACGAACATCCCTACAATCAATGTTTAGGCATCAAACGTTTTCTACTTCAGATTTTACACGTGCCCTGTAGGCCTATAGTTTCCACAATATTCTACAGCTGGATATCATGAAGGCAAGGAAGAATAATTACACAACATGGTAGACTATGGAAGAAACTGCAGGCGATCATACGTACGTTAGAAGATTAAGAGCCATTTCCGATCTTTTATTTGATTTCTGCAACATTGTTTTGACGTTCCCTGCATCTGCTCACAGTTTGACTCTTATCACATGCAGCCGTGTTTGATAAAGTGTTCCAATGCTAACCAAGACATACATGTATATGCATGTGTACTGAATGCATGCTAATGCTGTAGTACAAATCTATCAGTTCTCTCTATTATTACCTGTATTATGTACGTGTACAATCTTGTCAATGTTTCATGGAGTTTACGCAAACAATTGGAAACTGGATTTGTCAACTTATGGTGTAAAATGCACATAAATCATAATCTCTTTGTAGGGGGCACAGAGAATGCCCTATAGTAGATATATTTTCAACCACTTATAGCAAACTGAAATCTATTCTTTAAGTCCTAAATGCATACTGAGTGAAACATTAAATTGAATAAGTAAATTTCACTTTATATTTGACAATTTGTGACCATGCCAAGTGCAAGCAGCATTTACAATTAAGTTATAAGTATATGTCATGGGAAAGGTCATTTATTCATATAATATACTCATGGTGGATATGTTTCGCGAGTTCCATCAAACATGCATTTTAGCATGATCTAGCAATTCAGACAAAGGAAACAAACAGAATGATTAATGGGATTTTAGCGAAGATCTGAAAAAATTGAATGAATTGTGAATGCAATCATGAACGAGAAGCATATACTGCATATATACGTTTCATTTAGTTTGCCGCGGCGTAAACAATTGTCACTTCTTTCTCAAAATAATATTTATAATATAAGAAAGGTTGTCCTTCAAAAATCTTAAACCTTAAACATTGAGCGCGCATAGTATGATGGGTAACTTTCTATTTTAGAGTCTTCAACTAGGGAAACTTTGTAACATGCTAGGGCATATATATTGAACACTTTCGATGCAGGGGAATCATCAGGTGGCTGCATGAGGAAAAGTTGCTCTATAGTATCTATATATAGCTATACTATTGAGCAATGAATGATTCTTCTTGCATGGTGACCGACTGATGATTGCTCTTGGATATGACTGACTGAGTGATTCCTATAGCTTTCCTTTCTATAGACTATACACTATACAGTATATGTCACTATATATGTGTGTCGCCTGGACGATTACGCTTGAGTTGCATCTCGCGTATTCCGCACTTATATATATAGTTGCACGAAAGGCCTACTTTGACCAGTGCAGTGTAAGTTAAAAAGCACAACTGTTCACTGATTCGATAAGCTATATAACACCCTCATGTTTGATTATAAGCATGATAAATATGCAACAACGTTAACGCATGGTCTTTTCGTATACACCCCAAAACTTTCAAGTTTTAATATTAGTAAATAATATCGTTTTGTTCAGCATTTGGACAACTGCAGTTACACTATGATTAATATTCATATACAACCAGGGGCGTGCTGGCCAGGGTTGAGACAACGAGAACTCGTTGTAGGCTCTTGCCATCGTGGGCCCCTAAAATAAAAACATTCAAATTTTTTCAAACATTGAGATTCTAATTTTCAAAATCAAGATTAAGATATTACAGTTTACTGTATATTGTAAAAATCAGAAGTCGCGAAAATATTATGGAATAATTTTCGTATGTGGGACCGAAAAGTTACGATATGCCTGGAAAAAATTTAGTATTTCGGGAAAATTGACGAAATGTCCGGAAAACTTTTTGTATTGCAGGAAAAAGTACGATATGTGCGGCAAAATTTTGGTGTATCCGAAAAAAATTGTGCGATTCGCTCGCCAACAATTTTTCGAAACAATGTTAATATAGAGCCATCGTTCACTGGGCCCATCAGACGTTGCTTATTCGTTGTCTTTTTTAAGACGCCAGCACGTCCCTGTATACAATCGAAAATCGTGCATGCGAGAATGCATGCATCTAAACTGATAATATATACTTATAATTTAATAAATCTATTTGTAAAAGCGTTTCCACTGTTTATATATATATATATATATATAGATATATACTATATTTCTACCGAGTGGTATACTTTTTATACTATTACGAATTACAAAATGCACGTTTGTCGTAATAAAGAAACTTCATTTTAGGTATGGATGAAATTTCTTCAATAAACAATTAAATTTAATTGTTGTTCCCTTGTAATAATCGGTATGTCATTACAACTCTGTGAAGTCCAGCGTGAGCTTTGTTTGTTTATAGAAAGACGATGTTTGCATATCCGAGACGATTTTCTGTTCAAACATTTTTAAAACACCGCACATGCAATTTCGGCCGAAAGAAAGAATTCACTAATGTTGCATAAATTGCCCATCGGTAAATGATATTAATCGTCAGCTCAACTTTGACAAATTAATTTATAATCCATGCAGGGTCCATATGCAATTACTGATATGCATTTTTATCATAAAGCAATTTTTCTATGTATTATTCTAGAACACCTTTCTCTGTTCAGAACAAAATTATCAGTTCATTCGCTTCAAATTCAATGTTATACGATACAGTTGTACTGTACAAGATGATATGTTGTTGTTGCCACATTTAGTTAGTGATACCATAAATCAACACAACATAATTTATATAGGGTGTAAACGAAACCGCGTTCTTTGCCAGACTTCACAGAGTTGATGTGCATTAATTACATCTATGACTATATTTCTAATGTTCATATTATCTTAAACTATAGTCCTTTAATTAAATAATTGTCACTCATTTATGTCATTTTGACGCAGTATGCTCTCGGCTACGCTCATAATTTAAATATGATGTGCATATATACTTGTCGTGGTTATAGGTCGATACAATATGCACTGTTTTACTTGGTCGTGGGCAAGAGGTGTATTTTGCATGACCAAATTATATCCGTTTTGTGTATTGTACTGCATAAAGTATCACTTAAACGATCTGCAGTCTCTCCCTGCTCTCATCCACGTACACACTTGTCTTGTTTTTTCTTTTGTCAGCGGATTTACGACATTGAATCTGTAAAACTTAGGTCCTTTACGAAGGTAAACAGAAGCTACAACAAGTCCTCTTACAACATAATTTTTCTGGTTGAGGAATAAGTAGGACCCTGAGCCTGACATACCCGGTGCAACGTCGCAACTATTAATGAGGTAGCCTTTCCAATTTTGGTAGACAAAACAACGTGTGTGCCACATGGTATTCCGTTTCTTGTCGCCTGGAAAGCCGTTGAACTCTAGTTTGGATCCTTGGGATCTGTGGAATGCTACTGGTGTCATATAAGGTCGTCTGTGATTCCGTCGTAATTCTAAAACAGCGTAGTCGTACTTCGTTCGATGGTCATTTGCTGTCGATGTGTGCCATTTGCTTGGAATGTAAGTCTTACGTACTTTTCGCCAACGTATTTTTCCACTCATATGAAGAAAACCTATTTGAAGAAATAATTATAAGTTCGAAGTTAGATGGGAAGTTTATCGATAATATATGTATACTAATACTAATAGGATGATCTCAATTCAGCATGGAGTTATCGCACCAATTAATATCTATAGGCGAATAGACATTGCTATTTTGCTTCAACCGGCATTTGTTTCATTGTCATTGATATTCCAGTGATATGTTCCAAACATTGTGTCGACGTTTCCCGAGTGAAGGCTTATCGCCAGGAAGTTAGTAGCAATCAAGGTCAGTGCTACTACAGTATATACCCTCTTGGCAAAGGACCGTCACGCGAAACGTCAGTGTTTGTAAACTTAACTAAAGACAGCTTATTTATTTCATATAACCAATCCAAAATCATCGGAAATTACTCTTAGTCCCTTAGCAAGTGGTAAATTACTCTGAAAATCTTCGTACACTTCATCAAAAATCCAAAAAAATCTTTGGAAAAATCCCAAAATCTTACTAAATCCTAGAATCCCAAAATACCAAGAAATCTCTAAAAATTGAATAAAATACTTGGAAAAAACCCAATAAAATCCTCAAAATTATTGCAATATCGAGAAATCCCATCAAATTTAAAAATTTAAATCGTGAATTGGCGTTCGGCGAAAAAAATAAGGGAAAATATTTCGAAAAAAGTTCGGCGAAAAAATAAGGGAAAATATTTCGAAAAGAATCTGAAAAAAAATCCGAAAATCCCTTAAATTTTGGGAAAAAATCCCAGAATCCCGAGAAAAATTGCCGGGATTTTCTAATCTCAAAAATCTTCGTACGCTTTTTTCAGAGTAATTTACCCCTCGCTTAGTCCCTGCCGTTAACAACTCGTCGCTGTTGCCGGAGTTGGCTAGAATTTTGTGTGCGTTTTTTTCTCGCGACGGCAACGCAACGGGTCAAAGAGGAAATCGCACGTTTATCATGGTCTGCGCGGCAATACAATTGTAACTTCATACATTCGGCAATCGTTGCTGAGAGTTTAACTTTCGGCAACGATTGCCAAAAATATCAAATTACAACTGACCATATTTAGTCAGCCAGCCAATGAAAATCGCTTTACTTGACAAGTGGAGGACTGGCTAGTGAAAACATATCTGCGGCGACTAATTCAGTGCCGTGGACAAGTAAAAAAATATCTGCAAGTTCACACACTACTGTAGAAATCAGTTAACTGCTAAAACGTTAACAAATTCATACACTTTTAAGCGCATATTATGATCTTTAGACAGTCTATATTTACACTTATTTATGTTTTATCCATCAGACACAATGATCAAACTTTCAAACTTGTGTTTAAAATTACGAGCGCTAAATTTTGTCAGGAAATCATGAACTTAGCTTCGATTTTGGGAACTCTGGCTTTGCACTTGTCTTGCCAGACAAGAAAATCACTGTACGTGTTGCCACTTCTCTGTGTGATTAAAAATTCGCACGTGTAACCCTAGGCCTAGCTTTAATCGCATCACATTCCATGGAACCAGCGGAATAATCAATTAATATATAACAAGTAGCTAAGAAAAACATTTAAAAAATATGAAAGATTTTTAACTCGGTATAGCAACTTCTTTAGGAAGGGATCTATATTAACCTTGTTTCAGATATATATCATCCGATTTCAAAAGCAGTTTGCTTATTTGGTTTTCTGTTTATATTGCAAGTCTGGGCATATTCATGCATATATCGTATAGTGGCATGCATCAACATTTATACTGTAAACTCCACGCTTTAATATGAAAGAGTTCAGCTCAAGTTCAGTTCAATCGTGGACTTCCTATGATAACACATAGTAGACGCGTATACGCAATGCCTAATGGAAGGTTTACTTTACTGTTTAATTAGCTCTTTTAATAATTTGAATTTTTACCAACAGCATTTTACAAAACATTTCAGTTAATTTTGCTTGAATATATAATTAGCTCATTTCGGTTTGAGAATTCACCGAACCAAACTATATATAACCTACGTTTTCCCTCTATAGAATCGCCCGAATTAATGTCCTTTTTTAACGAGGCACAATTTAGCAAATGGATATATCCTTTTAACCTTTTTTTAGAAATTTGCGGAAAGAATAAACAGGAACATTAAATTCAGAGTATAAAGGTGGTATAAAAATAAACTACTAAGTTGAGTAAATCAGTGGGATTAGCACATGCTATTGTTCACAAAATCAAACTTTGACTGCAAAGATTAATAAAGAATGTGTTCTGTCATTATCTAATCAAAAGTTTTCTGACACGACCCTGTGGAATTTTCTTTTTATTTTCTGCTGACGTTCGTCGGAAACCAATTAAATGACGTTGCACAGCATGCGGACGAAGCTCCTTGAAGGCAAATAGTTCTCATATATTAAACTTCAGAAGGGCGCTTTCAGTATTTCCTTTGGTAGAAACCTATTCAAATTTGCAACAGTAATATATCTCAAAATACAATATCTTTTTAACCGCAAATCTACTGGATTTAATAAAGGGCTGTATCTAATTTGTAAAGTATCAAAGAAATGTTTTCTTGCTTATTTCCTTTTCTTTCTTGTATTGTTTGACAAAGATAAAGATTTGCGAATCAACAGCCCATCGATCTGTTTAAATATAACTTCCTTTAGCGGCCCCATTACAATGCCTCCCTTCGACTTCAATCTGTTTAATGGTGCAGATTCATCACTAGGTTATACTGTACATTCAAAAAAATTCAGTTGTTAAAAAACAAATTAGTGGGACAGATGATAGTCAAATTTAGAATTTTTGATACTTAAAGGAGCAAAAAATTCAACATCTCAATTTTATTTATTTCATTTCATTTCACACTTTACCAACTCTCGGAAACTCACGTATTGCGTTACCTTTCAGCGCATTAGAGAATCACTGTCCAAACCTACACAGTATCTTTATTCTGCCCCTACACAGTATTTTTGATTCTCCTTTAGGAATTTCAGAATGGCGAATTGGTTTCCTATTTCGACTTTTTTCAGCATTCGTTTTGAACCAATCAGTTCGATGCGGTCCAACCAACTTTACGTGCTTTAAGCTACATTTACGCATTTATTATTATTATTATTGCATTGTTGGGCCAATTTTAGATTTTGTCGAATGTTAGTGATGAAAATTGTTGATTGGTGATGTGCTCAGATGACGTTTTGCGCGCATTTTTTCCAAAATCATCGATCCTCCCTGTGGATCTGGCAAATCGTAGTGCATAAACGTAACTTTTAAATAAATTCCATTCTTGGTAGAAAATGTACATATATGTGTACTTATATTCACGAGCTTGGTTGAAAAATACCTGAAATCTTTTTATATTTTTCAGGTAATTTGAATCCTTCAACCAAAGTTCGTGAATATTGTCCATCCAATGGTCAATATATTATAGATGTCCCTACATCGAGTATTTACATATAGATGTTTAAATGTTTCTGAAGAATGTTGTCAGTTGCAATTGCGGTGATCAATTTTGCAAAAATTATCCCATTGCATTGGATCTGATCCAGTGTGTCAACTGGGAAGGGCTAAGGCGTACTTTAAGCTAGTAATGGCTGAATCTTTGTTAATGCAAATGTATACAGACATCTACTTACCGACTTTCTTTCGTCTCGGTCCCTTATATACGCAATGTGCCGCAGTGAGAACATGTCTCGGACCAATCAGTGTGCCCGAACACCCAGTTGAAATTCTCACCGACGCTGCGTAAGGCATGACCTCAGCTAATGACGTCGTGATTTGCTTACGGTCATCTCTACCGAATGTCGCTTTTCGCTTTTGTCGTCGTGTGACAGAAGCAGCCTCTCCCACATCGCTCGACGCATTCTTCAAGAACGTAATTATCTCTTCTAAGTCTATTCTGTTTAGAATTTTATAAAGATCAACGTTGTCGGTTGACAACTGCCAATCAAATTCAGCGTCGTCTCCGTCCAATTGCTCGTTGTAATCATTCCCTTGTTCTTCGTTGGTAAAAGTATTCTCATTGAAACTTCTGCAGGATACAGTGTTTACAAGAGCATACATGAAGAGAAATATACCAACAAGTGAGATCATGTTATGCCCTGTTTCATTTCTCGAACTGCGTCTCTGAAACTGTCCGATCCGACACATCCTGTTTAATAATTAAAAGAAACAAGATTTGTTTTCAATAATAATGAAATTTAACCTGTATATCGATGTTAGCGCTGTGATCGTTCCACTGTAATAAACACTCGACTGTATGTATAATAATATACGCCTCTCAGCTTAAAACCCTCTTGTCCACTGGAGCGGTAATTATGTATCAACAAGTAGCGTCTAGAAATGTTTCGCGTTGCTACGAGGAGCTACCTGAATGATATTAAATGTGTACGTATTTGGATCATTTGGTCGCAGGTGACAGCAACTCTTTCAGATTCTGACCACCTTCTCGCTACTTGTATGAGGGGACAATGACAACAAAATATCCGGTAGCAGATTATCATGACAAAATAAGCATAATCACAGCTGATTGTATTCGTACAATATTTGCTTATTACGCTCATAGTTGAAATTCCAATGCAATTCTCTTCCAAACATTTTATGTATTTTAACTGTGTTCTCTATCCGACTTATTAATACAACCAAGATTGTTCGAATACTTACTAGGATCTCGCAGAGAAGCTTAAAAGGGTAAATAATTGAACAAGGATCTAGGTTTGGTGATGCCAATTGGTTTTCGTGTTCAAGGGGACGCAACGTGTTAGGTGTAATTAGTTAAACTAAGCGGAACCTGCACACTAAAAATAGTCGCTGTTGAACTTCAAAATGATTACCTATGCCTGGCAGCTTCTAAGTATTTAAAAAGGGGCTGATTTAGGAATGCCGCCTTATGTAGGCCCGCTTTCGAAGTTCGTAAAACAAACAGTAAACAAAAGCCCAATAATCATACCTGAAGAAGCTAAACGTTAATCTGACAGTGGGTGCCATGTTTTTCTACTAGGTTTTTGTATTTTGATTAAGACACAAATCAGATATGAAAAGCGAGATTTATTTTTAGTACAACGGCATACGGGGGTTAAAGTATATAAAAAACATATTGTGTACATATACTGCTATAGCCAACTGTCAGTTGCGAAATTGAATTAAATAACCAAATTTACGTTTTTAACATTCTTCCGCATATTGCGTTTAATATCGAGAAACAAGCACCAGCGGCTATTTCCTTTCTAAACACAGCGAGCCCTCATTATACTTGCGCTCGCTAGGAGCCCTATTACGAGATTCAAATAGTTTTATTCTTTGTTGCAAATTTTTGCCACTTGTAACATTCTATAGAATATGTTGCGGTTTGTTTCTCTTCTGGCTCCTATGGTTTGCCGCTGCGGTTATGAAGAGACCATGTGACGGAAGAATGCTACTAACGCTAGTTAGAATGTTGAAATATTTCGTAATTTACTGACTCGTGATCAGGTAAAAGATTTAGATATATACTTATATATTCTGCGCACGAACATAACTGAAATCCATCTGGGTTAGGATGTGGCTGTGTGCATGATTATGGTCATGATCAAACAGAAATATATTCGTGGGCGATCAGCACGAAATATGTGGATGCCCCAGAATTTCTAGCAATTGATGCAATATGAAATTCGTGATCTCCGTTTTCATATGTATACTAGTCATGCAGTTGTCGTTGGGAACATGATGCATGTATGAGCTCAGTTCCTTTCTCGGCCTCTTTGTTGTTATATTTATCTCGGTATTTATATTCAAAATCCATTGTTAGCCTTATCAGAATTACCGACACTAGGCGACGTACGGATAGTAAATGTTATGACGAAATGCTGAGGTCAGCACTTTTGAGCCTTCATGTTTCTTAAATTAAGTCAATTTTTTTGCGCATGTACGTTATTAGGTGTTAGGTTAATCAAAAAGTATTTCAATTTTTAAGTAATCATTCATTTATCTGCAGGTTATAAACAACCTAAAACCGATTGAAAATTAAAGCAAACGCTCATCACATATCATTCAGAACTCCTGCAGTCTCGTCCCATGCACAATAACCTTTTATCTGATCTTAAGTTAAAAATAGCACTACAGTCGTCGTCTTTCACCTCCGAAATCGTGGGTTCATTTCTTGTTCTTGACTAAGACATTCATGTAAGAAGAGTGAGTCAACGCGTTGTTGAAAGACATAGTATAGGTTTTCGTTGGGTATTCCGCTTTCCTTCCACAAGGCAGAAATATATATGCCATGGTATATAGCCGGGCTACATAGATAGATCACGACCCCATCACTCCATCAGCATTTATAGCCGTACTGCAGTTAAATATACATATCGTGGTGAAATAAATGAAACTAACTATACTTGAACAATGGGTGCCAGTGCATGTAGGATTCTATTATTCTAACTTCTGACTACTACCTTCCATGAGACGAAAGGCCTTCGCTTGAAACGTCGGCGATCTTTTCTGTATTTTTTATGTAGTTCATGAGTGATCTTCTATATGCATGCTCGCAATTAACTGTATTAATTATACAGTATTCTAACTGGATGCGAACGGACTTTTTAATATTAAAATCAGATTGCACCAGCTATAGTGTGTAGCTTTTATAGTGTGTAGCTTTTTTATTAAAACTTGTTAATTAAACTGCTTGCATGACTATACATGCGTGTATATATAGAGTTGTCTGTTTTCTGACTGTTTGATAGACACCATGCAGCATTCCAGCAATTACATACCTTCAACGGACGAACACTAGTTGAAATATGTTTTATCTTCCAATGTTAACCAGAAATTCCCTTCCACAAGTTTCAAGACTCTTGTTCAATTGCAATCACTGCAAAGGACTATAGAGAAATTAGAAACGTAATTAACAAGGCATCTAAACAGTATTTGGTTATGAGTGCATGTTAACTTAAGTGCATGTGATGAATTAATAGCGTAAATTGTTTTGACGCAAACTTAAATCCCACACTCTAAATAATTGTAGTACAAGAGGTCTTTGAAGTCGCAGAGTTCCCATCTCTTTTCAAGTACACCCCAAAATTAATGAAGCTAGGGTGCGCCAATATAAAAAGTATCTCAAACGTGGGGGGCAGTGGGTAGTGCTCTGCAATAAGCCGCGGCCATTTTTTGCGCCTGAACTATATACCTGAAAGTGTTTAAGTATATATACTGTATGCATGTATATGCCTACAAAGGACATTCATGAACTGATTATAGTGTATAGCAGGCAATATGGAACTAGCTACGTAACGTATTCTGGCGCAGCATTCCCTTATCAATATACGACGATGAATTTTCAAGAATGTTTTTCTTCCGCATGCAAAGTGTTTATTTAGAAAAATCTATAGGGTTTCGTCGATAAAATACAAAAGAACTCTTTTTCATGACATATTGTATTGTGGCCAAACAAGCATCTTTCATTATATTGTTCTTGTAACCTTTACCATAACAATTAATGCCATTATGTATATACTATGCAGCTCTTTCAAACTATACGGAAAGTCAATCAGGTACAACATATTAAATGATTATATAAATATAATAAACATATACAATATATATAATGTGATATTCCAAAGTTGATTTTTAAATATGCTGACGTTGAGAAAGAGTTTCTTTCAGTGTAAACATAGTTGTTTAAGTAGTTTATTAATATATACAACTCTGGCAACAAGTATGAAACCGGAAAATATCTTGTCTTAAATAAAGAAAGATATTAATAACTATTGAGGTAGGCGTTTATCAAAATAACTGAAGAAATAATAATTAAATATTTCAAACCATGCAGACGTATTTCCTTTTATAGTCAGATTGAGATTACGGCCAAATACTGTAGGAAAATTTAATTACGGAAAAGGTTGGTCGCGGGGCTTGACTTAAGGTAGATCTGGAAACCTGGTTCCATGCATGCGTATTTTTGTGAACACGTCACGTAATTTAAATTCATAAGTCGCGAAACGTGATCCTACTTTATAAATATTTTATATATATATATATATATATATATATATATATATATATATATATATATATATATATATATATATATATATATATATATATATATAAATATTTACTAAGTATTTTACTTCTATATATGTTAGATGGATATATAGCAAACAGTTTGTATGCATGGCGTATACGTTTTAGCGACTTATACGAGAACGCTGAATATAATGGTCTCCTGAAAATATATAATGGTATGAAGAAACCGTTATGAACAGATGAATATAACGGCCATTATATTAAAGGATAGAGATCGAAACGGTTATGGCCGTTCAAAGGAAAAAGCCAACCCAATTTTAAGTGGTTGAAATACAGATAATTAACCGTTTTAATAGCAATGGTGATCACAGTAATAATTCTATCAAAACATTTAATTAACAATCATTAATCTGAAACTACAATCAACTTTCCTCTCACCCATGCAAGTTAATTCCAAGTCATTCGTCATTACAAACTACATATTGGGAGGAAAATCCATGCGGATTTTAGATAGCCAGGATCGTGGTTCAAATTCCTTTACTGAAGGATCACAAGATCGTCACTAAATAGATTCAATAAAGGCTTGTAATAGATGACCACGCAACATGCAAGCTAAAGTATTGTCGTATATATATATATAGGTATCATAGTACATTGGTATCATAGTACATGTCGTATATATATAGGTATCATAGTACAATACATCATATCTCGCTCGTTAGAACTAAATGAGGAAGATTTTTTGAAGGCTTCATATGTATACCGTGAACCTCCGACTATAAGCCCTGGGCTTATATTCTTTCGTAAGTGATTTTTGATGGGCTTCTACAATGCAGGCGGTTCCTAAAATTGGGAAAGCCTGGGAAATACAGGGGGCTTATATACGGGGGGGGGGGCTTATACGTGGACGATCGTTTGTGTTAGTAACAAACAAATCTGTCATAAACGGGAAAATAAACATGTATTAATAACGCGCTTTGATTAACATAGTAAGATATAAAGACAATGTCAATGTTTTTAAATATCGTTCTCTGCTATATTAAAAGACAATGTCAATTTTTTGAACTACTTTTCAGTAAATAAATGTTTTTATACATAACATGTTTAGTTGTCGTTATTTGGAATTGTTTGAGTACAATAACGTAGTGGGCTACTGGACTTATATTCGGGGGAATTATATGCGGGATTTTACTGTATTATGCAAAGTCCACCAAATGCGTGTAAACAATTAAAGTATATATTTTTACAGGTATTTTAATTACACTGGCCGTAAGGCCCAGTGTTTAGGTTCCCTAATTTTCTGTGCAAAATTCTTCGTTTTTTTCGTCAACGTGAAATCGACCTACGTTCATGAAGTGAACCGCTGAGCTGCAATGAATCGCAGGCTCAAGTCAAAATGGCCGCCAGGTAAGGAGCGGAAACTATGCGATAGGATTTTTTGTCTTGTTCGTTTATTACTATTGATATAGTGTTCTTTGAATTTTGGAACTTAGCATACTCAAATGTTTCTGGTATATTACCTGCGTATTAATTGAACCCTATAGCCTGTCTGTGTTACCCTCGTTGCTACAGGTCCTTGTAAATTGTATACACCACGTTGTGCTCCAAATCTTTATTAGTACTATTTTACAATCCGTCAATAGTGGTTATACACTTCTTTAACTTTTTTATATCTGACTTCAGACTACAATTTCATGCATATGATATATGATATCCCTACTTGTCATTTTGTCAGTTGTCAACCTACGTAACAAATTAAGTAATTTTACATTTAGTACAGTCAAACAGTACCGCGTAACATATTCCCCCTCTTGAAATAAGTGTCGTCCCGTGACACTTGGGGTTTTTCAACATGCTTATATACTCTCAATACAGTACCATGTGGTACTTTGTTAGTCCAGAAACATGCGTTTCTCATGAATCTATCACAGCACTACAAACTTTTTACAGGATCCTATTTATCACATTTCTACTTGGTAACCAAAATAATACGCTGCAGCTTGTATCACCATGGTATAAACGTCTACTTATCTCGCCTGATAGCTTCTGGATACTGTGCATCCTAAATAATATTGTAAAGTTCGGAGCGTTTTTTTTACTATAAAGAATGATAAATATTATCTAATTTATCTAATAATTGAAATCCCAGTTTGCTTGATACGGCATCGCTAGCTGTCCATACACTGGTTGATAGTGGCTTGCTGATGGAAGAGGTGTGTTGGGGTCATGAGGTGGGGGAATGGATAGAATGTGTTCACGAAAGGTGGCCAATGCACAGGTGATAGGTGGACAAAGAGAAAGGGTGTATTCACTGCATGGACACATCAAGGGAGGAGAGACAACCTCGGTGTCGACTGCGTTCTCCGCTTTGCCTGAGTTGTCATTCTCGTTCTCGACTACGTTTTCACTCTCGTTTTCGACTGTGTTCTCGTTTTCGACCACGTTTTCGTTTTCAACTGCGTTCTCGTTTTCGACTACGTTCCCGTTTTCGTTTTCGACTGTGTTCTCGTTTTCGACTACGTTCTCGTTTTCGACCACGTTTTCGTTTTCAACTGCGTTTTCGACTACGTTCCCGTTTTCGTTTTCGACTGCGTTCTCGTTTTCGACTTCGTTCCCGTTCTCGACTGCATTCTCGTTCTCGACTACGTTCTCGTTAGAAACGTTAGGGTCTGGGTGTGTATTTCTGGGATGGACGTTTACTATGACTTCCGGTAGGCCTTCTTCATCACTAGCTCACCTAACTCGCTACTGTTTGTATTCGGATTAACGAGTTCCAGTTGTCGTCTGTTACTACAATCAGGAGCAAAAATTATTGAGACAACCGCATAAATGCCCCCCCCCCCTCACCCCAAATTCAATGTTGTGTGAATGACTGAAAAGAGAAAATTCAACCCAGGTTTTCCAACATTGATCATGGGGGCAGGGGGGAGGCCGACGTAGTTTAAAATGGCCAAAAATGTGAAAAGTCTCGTTATTTTTGCACGCGATTGTCTGAGATGGAGCTGTTCTTTGGTAGCACTGGAATTGATCGGGTAAACCCAAAGCATCTGCCAACAGGGGAATATCGTCCTTGTCAAATCTGAAGTTTGATCGACAATCCGGTTCAGGTTTCGTTGCAAGATCAAACCTTTCGTATTGTAGGCAAACTCCGGATTTCGCGAATGTTCCGGATTTCTCCGATGTTCGGCCGTGATTTGTTTGTTGTACAAACTAAATAGCAGCAGTCTCCCTACAGTTGTTGAGAAATGTCAGCGAAAAATAAGGTCTTCACAACGACGCGAAATAATTTGCTATTTATGCAAAATAGGGAATTTTTTGAAGGTATAAACACTTGTACAATCTTTATACTTGAAGTACATTCGTTCATTATGTGTTGCTATGGTAACAATGTGACCCAAGCGACAGCAGCAGACATTAAATTTTGCACTAAGAATGAATTTAATTAAAATTTCCTTCGGTCAAAGTTTCTAAAATGTGGTAGGGGTAAAGGGAATAATTCATCTAGTGGGAGATTATATAAAAAAATTAGGTGGAGTTAATAAATTGAACTTTTGAGATATCACACAAAATTTGTTCCACAAAAACTACTTTATAGAATTTTTCAAAAATTGAGTATATTGAACTTCAGAAAAATTGACCGAAGGAAAAATAAGTTTTTAGTACTGCAAAACCTTTTTTTAAAAAAACCTGCTTTTAAAACCTGCAAAACGTGATTTTGTTTCAACTTTACAAGCTCACTTTTTGAGCATGCACGCTGTTTTCAAAACATCTTTAAAAACTGCAAGTTTGACTTTTCATCTTTGCCAAACTTTGGTCTTTTCATAAAATTTATAAATGTAGGACTTTAGTTTTAGATTCACTTGTTTGAAAAGATAAAACACTACATGTAAATGTAGTAGGTCGAATGACAGTTAAAATACATTTATTGATTTTATAAAATATCAATTTTAAAAGAACATTATTAACACGATATTGAACATAAACACGAGTAAAAACACACTAAAAGATAGCGTAGAAACTGGGAAACAACATACGTACTGTTTGAATAGACCTTATGCATAATGACGTCACAAGGCTTGATACCCGCGAGGAATGCTGGTCTTAATAGTCAACGTCCGGGAAAATTCAAAAATGGCCACTATTGAAATTTTCTCGGGCGATGACTACTAAGACCAGCATTCCTCGCGGGCATGAAGCTTTGTCACAGAATAAGGCACACAGAAGGGCCACTTACGTCGGAAGCTTTGAAGTTTCTGTCACCCTGGCCGCCATCTTCCTAGCCAGTCGATTACATTTTCTGGCCAATAAACGCGCTGTATTGGCTGTACTGGCCAGTCAACTGCATATTTTTGCATAGAAAAATGGCGACACGTTGCACCGCTGAGTGGCCCTTCTGGTACTGATCTTTATTCTGTGGCTTTGTGATGTCATTATGCATAAGGTCTATTAAACTGATAAACTTGCATTTTCTTCCTTGACATAAAGTTTGAAAACATACGGCCACAGAATAAGGCACACAGAAGGTCGACTCGAGTAACCGCTCATGATTCATCATCAAAATGCTGACGCCATGGTCCTAGCCAGTGCGCGTTTGAGAGGCATTCCCCCCTGGACGTCCGCCATTTTGAATATTATCAGGAATGCCTCTCAAACGCGCACTGGCTATAGGACCATGGCGTCAGCATTTTGATGACGAATTACGGTTACGCCAAAATTATTGGAAAATCAGGAGAAACCAAGAAGTCGGGCTTCTGTGTAGTCTATTCTGCGGTGTGATATTATCCGTTGATTTCAAGTTATCTTGCGCCAGCTGCACGATTGCGTGATTGTCTTCATACGCCATAAAGGCAGCACTTTCCTTGCGATAGTAACTCCTAGTAATAGATTTGCACCATTACGTCTCCCGAAAAGGTATTTTATTATTTTAAAAAGTCCATAAAATTTGCTTGCGGTTTAAGATTTGTATTCCTGCCTTTTGCACCATAGCACGTATCTCGTTATTTTCAGGCCAGTGTGAACGCCTGAGCAGGCGTCTTGTTAAACTATAATACGCGCCTGGCATTTCGCGGCATGAATGCTGTTCTTCTCGCTCTTCGTATGCCAGCTTTTTTTTGTATAAATTTTATTTTTCCATACTTTCGAATTCCCCGAAATATTGTTATGCTACGAAAAAGCCAAAGATTAATGTCTGCATGCAGACATAACTCATAATCATGGTTAAAACATGATGCAAGATTAAACATTTTTGTGCCCGAGTACGACTTCCGGTGATACATAAAAATACTTTTGCAACTTTCCTTCTCGTATGTATGACAAGGCAATTTTTCTTGAGTGAGTATTTTTGAAATGTTTTTCGTGGCAGTGGGCCAAAGTCTGTATAAGATTAAGAAGTTTGACTCTGCATGCTCATTTACTTTTTTGTGTATAGTCTTGTATCTTGGTTGGAAATGCCAAGCGAAAACTATATAGCTAAACACTTAAGACCTACTTTCATGGTAATTAGTTCTTCAACATATCTATATGTAAAACAGAAGAGACCTTCAAATACTCCCCCCCCTGTATTAATACAATACCAGAATGCATTCCGAGCTCGCAATCAGTATCCCGCAAACATGAACTGGATAGTATAATATTCAATAAAAGCAATGAGATGAACTGTTTTTATTTTAATCGTATATTCTTCCGCATTCCTGCAGCTCTTTAGACATTGTCGGTTCAACTGCCAATTAAGTTAAAACTAAACCTGAAGACTTAATATACGAACTGGGAACAATATTGCTGCAATTTGCAACAAAAACATATGCTATAGTTACAAAAGTTCGCGAATGTTGTCTCGCGTTAAGTTTGACCATGTTTTGTAAAATATGCGCAAACATTTCTAATAATTTAAACATGCGTCATTCATCATATCGAAAGACGAATAGGTGTAAATTTGGCAGGAGCATACGAAGGGATTACACACACTTTGTTTTCACACTTAGACACATCTTTGAATCTTAGAATGTTTATAATATGATTGATTGAAATATTGCTGCAACATTGGGTTTTTTGAGAAAGATGATACCTTTGAGAATAATCTGAATGCCCGTAGAAAATGTTGAAACGAGATTGTTATGTTCATTGAATTGGTGTTCTAAATTATCAGAATTATTTTCTACTTTTGGCTTCGAGCAGCTTTTGACAGTAAACAGTCGACATCCTTATTAAATCTAAGTTCGAAAGCACTTCTTCACGCATTAATTTTGTTTGAAGTACATCACAATATACGCATATAGGCACTGTATGCTAAGGATAAGTGGGCTTTAGAAATCCAAAACCTTAATGCATACATATGTGTTTCCCCCATAGTTGAATTTTGCCTAAAGGCATGTTTTTGTACTTGTAGCTATACAAAATGATACCAAGTGAAGTCAAGGTCGTGCGATATTAAAGATTATATCTTGTCGTCTTGTTCTAGTTTAAAACTATGGACCTATATATAGCTATATTATAGATATGCAGCAAACATCGAGCAAAATGCTAATGAGATGATCAACACTCCGGTATTTATTCTATGAGATTATAAAACTATTTGAACAAGATAATTAAAGACCGACATTTCGCAGGTCTTTATCATACTTATAAGGTTATAATGCATGCTTGTGATTTTTTTTACTATATCACATAAAGAGGAAAAATTATAAATTCTTGTATAAACACAACACTAAAAGTTTACTGTTGATCACTGCACTGGCTAATCACCACCTTTATTAAGGATCCTATATATACCAGGCTCTTTATATATAGTTTAACATATGTTCCTAGCTTTTTATTCAACAGTTAAAGCTGGATTGAGCATACAGTCATTAAAACCGTATGCTATAGAATACGTGCAAGTATATATATATTATTGACTGTATTTTGTATAATCCGACAGCTTATTATTGTTAAGGAAGGTCCTTTGTCGTCGGAAACGTCGAAATTGTGCTTGTATCCCTATCAACCCGCATGGAAGGATGACCTCTATTATTTAATTCAGTAGAAATCAAGTTATATATTTTTACTATATATATATGATAAAATATAAATCAACTTGTTAAAAATTCATATCATTCTCAAACTTTTGTCTTTGTTAGTAATCAATTTTAAACGGAAAAGTCACTGATCCATACTTTGATGACCTTGCATTTTGTATGAAGCACTGCATAGTGTGGTAAATTGCTCCCTTGCCCTGGTCTTGCTTAGGAAAGAGAAGAGAGTATAACAGTCCCTAAATCATAACATTTGGTCGATATAATTGACTTCATGGCTAATAACTTGCACTAGTACATCTATGATCATTATTGATCATAACACTGATCAACTTTTCAATTATTTAGTGACAAATTAAGCAGATTTCCTCAAAATCAAGCCTTTACATCGTCTTTATACTCTATGCATTATTAAAAAAAATAAATAAAAAAATGTTAGTATATGATTATGGAGATAGAATTTCCGGAATCCAGACGGGTACCCTTATATAGCGACGGGATTTCCAACCATATAGTATAGTGCATGTTAGTATTGCATAACAATTTTACTGAAAAATGTAAAAAGTACTTCACTGAATCGACCAAACTCATGAACATTGTTCATTTATACCTATTATACTCATGGAACCAATAGTCAATATAGTATATAGCCGGATAAGCTGTATTGGAGTCTTTAGAGAGTATGTGAGAAGCTATTTTACAAGATGAGCAGTTAAAAAATGTATATACTAGCTAAATCACTTACTGTTGTGTCCGTGTTTCTCTTGTATGTTGTTTTCATGCTTGCCGTCTAAGTACTTGTAAGTTAATAAGAGTGGTTTATAATTAAGATATTCAGGGTAATATTCACAAAAACGAGGCAATCTAGTTCCCAGACTTCTTATTCTTCTTAGCGCTTTTATACTCATCACATATTTCAAAATTGTACTGCACTTTTTATAACGTACTACATATAGTAATATAGATAGCTGCGGATTCGAGTATCTGTTTAGTATTAACTTTTTCAAAAAAAGCTTTTTCCTGATTAGTGTTCATAAGTTATAACGATATGCACGACTACACACCTTGAAAAAAGGTGTGTAAAACCCCACATCTTTTTTAATGTGTATAATTCGGTATGAACAAATTGTAAAGGAAATTACACATGCATTTATGTGTATTAGTGTAACACTACTTTTTATTTTATATTTTCTATAGGTGTGTTACTGATATGCACCTTGGAAAAAGTAAGTTACAAAATTACATACTTTACACACTTACACGCGAGTCAACATTGTTGTTTTAAGAGATTGGTCGACACAGTGGCCACCTCATTAATACGGTCACCTCTATTACGGCCACTATTTTATTAACGGGGTTCCACTTTGTTTATGGCTAGCAGGAGGCTCCGAAGAAAAATGACGGGGTTCATGACATGAGAAAGAATTGAGTAACTGATTGACTACTCTAAATGGTCAACAAAATATGCAACTTCCCAACTTCTATATAGGAAATTATGGAGCATCATAAAAATAGTCTTGAAACAATAAGTGCTGTTTGCTTCCGTAACGCAGGAAATATTTTGAAAGATATGATTTTTTTATTGTTATTTTATATCATAATGTGGTCTTTTACATCATAGTTCGACGTCATTTTTCGTCAACAAAGAGAAGTGGCATTCAATTAACGTTTCGTTAGTGCATTCTAGCGTCATCACCGGAGGAATTAAACGTGCACGACTCTCTATATAATCCCACAAGGTGACGAGCCCTTTTGGAAGATATTTAGAAAACCAGTTTCGAATTCAGACAAAGGGGAAATCTGATTTGGCGAACCCGGTGTGTCAAATAGAACTCACCATTACGTACATGGAATAACTCACGAGTCATTACCACTAACCGACTAATTGTTATTGTCAAAAGCGTGTCTTTGAAGCGTCACACATAGCCTAATCATTCATAGGCGTACCGGGCGGGGGGGCGGGGGGGGCGGTAGCCCCCCCCCCAGTTTTTTGGACAGTCGGGCAATATTCGATAAACAGTCGGGCAATTTTGGTTTGTAATAAAAATAAATGGGACAAATTCTGTCAAGTTAGTCGAAAATTCAGTCAATTTTGTGTTGTTTGGAAAAGTTGTGTGATGTTCCGAAAAATTTTGGTATGTCGGGAAAAAATTTTTGACTCCTAAAATGGTGCACTGACCGAAATTTTTTTGGCGACGGGGGGGGGGGCGTCGCCGAAATAATTTTTCCGGAAAATTTTTTTTAGGTACTAGTCGGGCACAATCACGAAAAGTCGGGCAAATTTCTGTCCGCCCCCCTAATTTTTTCCTTCCGGTACGCCCATGCTAATCATGAATCTTGAATTAGGATAGAAATCAGGCTTATAAAATGTGATTTTTAAAGAGAATTCCCTCCCTACTTCCAAACTGTTTGTTTGTGGTCTGTAACATCAAGATTTCGTTTGATGTAAAATAAGTAAAAATAAGGCTGAAGTTCAGGAAGAAAATGAAAATGTCCTGAATTGGCTGGTTGGTTGGAGAAAAGCTGGATAAAGAGTCCTACGAATCGAGCAACAAAGTAATGGTGTAGAACAGTATTGAATCTTTAAGATGTTGAACATAGTCGAAAATATATTATACAGTATATATATATTTTTAATTTCATACAATATGACTTCTAATTATTTTACCTAATTCCCATATTTGGGCAAGGGAGAACAATGGTGTCGCCACAGATGCCACCTTAAGTAATTCTAGAAGACGAAATGTTGGTTATTTTGATCAGTCAACGCTGGGCCACCCTGTATATAGGCCATGCATAAAAAGGTCATGAAAACATATATATGAGAACATGTAAGTCATGATAATGATTCTTATAAATTGTAATCATATTAAAAACAAGCATTGCATGCATACGTTTATCCAAAACGTAAATTATTATTTTCACTCTAATTTGTACTTGCTGAAGTTGATTCGTGGACAATATATGTGTGTTTGAAAGAGGCCCATTGGAAAACGCAAAAACTATTGACAGGTACACAAAACATCAGTTATTCTGCACATATGGTCTGCATGATGACCATTTTGCAATCAACACATTTATTTGCTTTAATTTATATCTTTGAGTTTCAAAATGTTTTTTTTTCTATTTTTTTATTTTATATTTAAAACTGCCTCCTGGTATCGGTTTTTAGGCTGGTATATAAATAGCGACAGATATATTTTGTATATTTATTAGGGACCGGTCATAAAGTAACTGCTATGGTGGGCTGGAGGTAAATCACAAATTTTGCCAATAAGTTTGGTGACCCATCTTAGGATGAAGATAAAAATTTCAAAGCCCATCTAATCTTGCCAAATTTATTTCATGACCCACCCACCCAATCTAAATTGGGAGAATACATTTACAATTTTACCATAAAAAAAACTTGCAGGTATGAACATTGTAAATATACACCTGCACTGTATTGACATACATAATTCCACCAAGCTTGACCAACACATTCATCACCAATTACGATACTGACCTGCTCTCCAGTTGGTTGTATTTGCTGTGATTCAACCACTTCTTGTTGTTGTATAAAACAAAATACTGGCTTCAATAGCATCATTTGCATTTGATAATTTGAATAGTTTTGTTTACTTTTATTATTAATATCTTTATATAATATATAATTAACATGGGTTTTTGTTTGGTGGCCCAACCGTGGACATACCAAAAAATTGGCGGCCCATCGAAACTGCCCAATGATTTTCCATGGCCAATCCCAAATCACTCCAGCCCACCCTAGCAGTTACTTTATGACCGGTCCCTTATGTATTTTGTGACATTAATTTAATTAATTATGGTGGCATAATTCGTTGGAATTAATAATTAGTAACTTTTAATGTATCATTGAAATTAATAATTAGTAACTTTTAATGTATCATTTTGTATTGCCATTACCCATTTAATTTTTAATCCCAGTTGAATTTTTAATCTAGATCCTTATATAGATTATCAAGTCTTTATATAAATAATAACCTTTATTATATAGCGTTCACTAAGCTGACGCGTGGTTTGTGTTTGGACTGCCTGGAAAACATTAAAAAACACTTCGAATGATCATCAGGAGCTTAGTAACTAACATGTTATTGGAATGTTGTATATGATGTACATAAAACTAATCTATTTTTTCGCATATACTTACCCCACGGTCTGATCTGGAACGAATTTAATCGGATCATCTTTGCATGCGTATAGGATTTTCAACTTGTCGCCTTTTTTTTATCACAAATGAAAAAGACCACACGTTTAAGGGTAATATTGCAGTATGGTTCTACCTTACTTAACTTTTGTTAGATGCATTTCATACGTTAGCGCAAAGTCAAACTATACGTGATAACGCGTATATGCAATCTATAAATTCAGAAATAAGGTTTTCTCAAGTAAGTGTCAGAAGACCTTTAACCTTTTCGAGCACGTCCGAGTAGTTTGTCCTTACGTAAACACGTACGTACAGCAAAAATAAGTTCCATACATGCAAGCAATCTGTTTATATATAAGAATTTTCAGGATCAGTTCATCCAAGTGACCTTGGGATACGGTGCATGGTTATATACTCCTTTACTGACGATATCGCATAATAATGCACTGCTGCATCGCATTTATAATACGCGATGTCGTCAGTAAAGAGTAACCACTATATTGCAAGGTCACTTGCATGAATTTTGAGAGTTCTTATATATAAACAGAATTCATGGAATGTTGTTCATGGAAGCAATATAAACTCATTACCGTTGATGGGCCATGGAACAATATATAAATTCATCAATTAATGACTTGTTAAATTTTAGTTAGGAAATAACATTGCACGCCACTTGCATGACTGACTATAGATGTCGCTTGACGCTTGTGCAAAGTTTCGATGTTGTACCGTTGTACTATAGCTATAAGTACCCTGCATCAGAACTTGATGAATTCTTCACCAAATTGAAGCATGATATGCGCGCGCATGACATAGGCGCATAGCTCGCATATCATGTTCACATTTGGTGTCATAAGTTACCGATTTGCAAAGCACTACTTCATGTAAATTAATGCATCGAAAGATTTCGTAGTCATGGTAACAGTCGGGGGCCTGGGATTCGCTGGGAATGGTATACATATCTTTCATTATGAACAAGCTATGGCTTTCGTTGGTGGGGATGCAACTATATATATACCTGAAAAATATAAGGAGAATTTGAAATTCTCCTTATATTTTTCAGGTGGTTGCATCCCTATACCAACGAAAGCTTGTTCATATTATTGGCACTACCTGCACTGGCACAGACATGCAGTTCAAGATTATATCTTTCATTACACTTCTATCGATTCAAGATAACACAAACGTGATGTCGCAACTTCTCAGCGTTATATGCTCCTCCTACTCGTCAGCATAAAAAGATGTTCAAATGTCTTTTATTGATTATAATATAGTGCAATATGTACATTCACTTTATACATACTACTTTTCAGTACGGTATATATCGCATAATCTCTTATAATATGCGATAACTCTGTTGTAGCCTATTGTCTTGAATATCAAGGACAAGGTAGATAATAAAATATTTTTTTGCTGAAGGGTTAGATTTTAAAAGTGATTCGAACATATTGGTAGTGCCATCCTCCAGACGCGAAGGGCCTTCGCTACAAACATCGAGTTTCTTTCTATATTTTCAGCTATATACCTGCATCCTTCAACCAATCTCACTACCCATGCACTGGCTCCGACGCTCCACTATGACACTTTTGACATGTCAGCACTCTGAAGTTGATCACATGCTCCAATTTTATGAATTAATTCACTTTTATTACATGAACTTTGTTTATGCATAAAAGTAAACTTTTCTCCACTACTCATGTTAAGCACGCA